CAGGAAAGAGTCATATTTTTCCTCTGCGAGAAAATTAAACTATTATTAATTGTCAGGATTTATACACAATTGTGTATGATACTGTACATTTTAAAGGGTCAAATTTGTAAGTCGGGGGCATCAGTTATACTTTCAAACATTTACTCATATTTCTTCTGACTGAAGATAAATTATGCCCAGAAAACATAACCACTCATTTAGATGTATATGCCATCACATTTAGTCAATTAAACAGTCAGGTATTTGCTTACAAAAACAAGTGACAATTAACCAAAACATGTAACTTGACTCTAAGGGGAAAGGAAGGTGAGGGCACTGAATCTGCCCCTTACATTTCTCAGTGTGTGACTGTTAGTCTACTTGTATGACCATGTGGAGTCTACATGATTCATATTTCATTTCTCTTATCACATACCGAAGAAACCCATCGTAGACTTTGTGACATATAGCTTCACATAAATAGTTGTAGCACGTAGTTTTATATGAGCAAATTTATATACAGCCAGCCAATAACAGAGATGGAAATTAGGCAGCATTTTTTACATAATGGAATAAGAAATAATTCACTTTTTAAGTGACCTGGTAGAAATTCAGTAAGGGTACAATATTTAGTAACTAGATTTTGGGTACAAAAGACACATTTTCTAATTTGTGGCCAGGTATTAACTGACAGAATTGAAAATGCAAAGCTGATACCTGAAATTAACAAATTCTTCCTAAGAAGAAGCACACAAAATACTTTCTTCACAGTGCTACTCAGAGATACTAAGCAATTTCTGGAAAAATATTCAGGTGTTTCATTACACATACTGTGAATTGGCAGCATAAATCCACTCTCTTAAAAAATTAGCGTTTTTTAGCGTTATTTATTGTTGCCATCCATATCACCAGAATTTAGAGAAGGGTTCAATTTGAAACTAAGAAACCTAAATTTAGGATGTATGTGTAGGTGTCTATATTTAAGCTAAACATCTTGCTTCCATTTTAGACAGTGGAGATCCAAAGCTCCCTTCAGTTGCTCTCTCATCAGTATCTATAATAGCTTTTGATGTCCTGAGATACCCGAGTTTTCTGTGAAGACTGTCTTAACACAAGACCATTGCTCACTGAACTGCAGCTAAAGCTAAAATGGAATATCCCAGGGTGTCATAAAGAGCACCAGACGTCTGTGGTCAGGGATATGAACCAAGCTGGGAGATCAACAGGGTCAGCGAAGAATTACATCTATTGAGCTTACTAAATAGAGGTATCTACTTCAGGACTTTAAAAGAAGAGTCTTTTTCCCAAGACTTCTCAATGAAGCCTTGATTTGTGCTGTTATTCAGACATGTGCCAGTGCTCAGTGCTTCCTATGTGTCTCTGTATGACTCTGCTCCATTGACTAATCTTCAGATAGAATAACATTGATTTTTTCCTGAAATATCTTTATATTTTTCCTGCACAGAGCTCTGGACAGATAACAGATAAATGAAGAGGTTAATACGAAACTCAGTGGCTATTTTAAGAAGAATCTTGGATGTAGTTTTTATGAAGATTTCCTCCTTATAAATAATGCATATGTAGCCTGCTATGTCATGGAGCTTGTTCATCCTTTTAGCTGAAGTAACTGCTGAAAAGGAACATATATCTATAGGCTAAAATGGCACATCCATCAGCTCAGATAAAAGTGGGTTTAGGATTTATTAAGGGGACACTCATTTATAGGTTTCATTTATGAAAGTGGAAAAATCACGTCACAGCAGTCAAATGACACTTAGAGCAGCCAAACATACCTGTGTAGAATTTTTGCAGAAAATAGCCTAGTATGTTGTGTTTTGAGTAGTGATGAGGACACAATTAAGCAGATGTAACCAGATTAGAGATTTTCTCAATTTTGAAGAAAAATGGATACTCTAAGACTTTTTCTGCTGTTTTTTGAGTTTTCCTTTTCTTCTTGTGAGCGACCAATCTCTGCAGATGTCAGGTAGTAAACATTTGTATTTTAAAAATGGAACAGATGTAGGATTTACTTTTTGACTTCAAGCAGGAATCAAAGGTAATGGTACTGACAGCCTTATGGGAAAATTGTGAAGGGCCCCAAAATACCTTTGTTTTGGCCAAGATTGAAATGAGCCTTTGTATGTTACAACTCTCCGAATAAGACTCCCTGAATTACTTCCTGAAGAATGAGAATAAGGAAAAAGTATGCTATGACTTAGTCTTGGATGTGAACTGAGCCTTGGGAAGCAATATACAGAGCATGAAACTTTTGCTTGAGAAATAATCAAGCTGTTGCTGAGCACTGAGTTTGACACTATAATGTTCAACTACCAAAGAGGTGTCACAATGAAGTAACAAAGGGATTTCAACAAATAAACTAATGTGTCTTAGACGTTATCAGCAGAAAACCAAGGTAAATCTATTGCAACCTGACTTCTACTAGAAGCAATCATCAGGGAACACCACTCAAGTCTGGGCAGACCCAGATTGAAAAGCCTGCTCTTAAAAAGTGTCAATGTCTTGGGAGGCATATCAGGAAGCCTAGAGTGATTATCTTTGCAGTCTGTATGGTTTGGTTTGCAGAAGATACTCTGTCAGTATAGCTGCAGGTATTAGATGATGAAGCTATGGGAACTGGTTTTGGTGATCATCGGTCCTTGCCTTTTTTGGAGAAGGGAAATTTGGGTCTGATTCAAAGCATGGAAAGTTCTCTAGCAAAAGGGCTTTGATGTTTGACTTTCTAGACCATTGTTCCTTTTTGAAATGTATTTCCAGATATTGCAGCTGTCATGAATGAGACTTCCCTGAGGCAAAGTAAGGACCTTGTGTGGGTGTTGTTTAGGGACATGACAGCCACACAAGGTGAGAAGCCTATTGAAGGCTAGAGATTTATTGTCAGACTTTCTAGACAGCCAGTGCTGAATATAGATTGCAAAAGAATAGCAAGAAAACAGAGGAAGATTCCAGCCTAAGGATGAATTGGAGGATCTTAATATAATACTCGTACCTGGCTAATGTGAACTGTGCCAAAACGAACAACCACAATCAGCACACAAAACAGAAAAGTTAATGGCCTAGGAACAGAGATGCTCCATCTTACGCAGTGACAGGTACTGGAATGTGGCTGAGTCTGTACGTCCTTGGATGGAAGTACAAAAAGATAGAAAAGGTACGTGTAGCACCTGTATAATTCTCTGTCTTGGTATTGATGTGTACCAATCAAGAGTGGAAGACAAAGGGCATATATCTACTAAGGAAGTGAAAGACAAGGCTTGAACTCAAGCTATAAGCCCTGACTGCACTAATTGTTAACTCATTGGCTTTTTCTTGTACTGTTCCAACTTGCTCTTGGCAGGATGAAACAGCTCCAGAGAAGGTAGGTCTCAGCAGTATAGAAATGAATCAGGCTGTGACACTTTGGTCTAAGGATCAAGCACTGATCTGTGTCCCCTTTTATTTATTAGTATAACTGTAGCCATGAGGACTATTTCTCAGAAGAATAGTGCTGAATAGGAGGTGCATATTTACAGGAAGAAGATATTGGACAAAACCTCTAGTACTACATCAAGTGAAGAATGGAGGGACAAACGACAGAACAGGAGTCTTAGAAAGTTCATGATGTATTTTTCTGCTGATGTGTAAAGTTGAAGACTTCATCCTTCACACAAGAGCATGCATTCTCACTTATTTTATACACTTACTATGTTGGCAAGTGTACATTGTGGGTCACTTTCAGTTTTTCTCCTTACGCACAGTAATGTATAGTCAATGTGTTATATAAAGCATATTTTTCTCAAATAAATTTCAATACATAAATGCAGTTGGTATAATACAAAACATCATTTTGTGATACAAACTGATAGTGCAATTTCATGTGAATGACTTTTGGAATAGTGCAATTTTATATAAATTTTTGAAACAGGAGATTGATGGATTTTGGATTAAATGAACTGTAGGTCATCTTCCAGCAAAAAGGATGAGATTAGTGAGAGGTCTTTGAGGAAGAAATCATTCATTTTTGTTTGCTCAATTCTTTTTAAAAGAGAAACATCATTATACAAAATGGCCCAAGATTCTACTGAATGCAGCATAGAGGCTCCTTGCAGACACCAACCAGATTTTTAGGTAGAAAAAGATGCATGTCAGTGGTAAAGAATAATCTGTGTATGTGGGTGGTGGAGGCATAACATTATTAGTGCATCATCATTTTCCCATTGTAAAAACACACTGACTTGTGGAAAAAATAACTGTGATTCCTAGTCGCCACATTTTCAGTGGGTGCAGTCAAATGCAAGATACAAAATTGTTTGAAGAACGACATAACAGCGTGATTTTGACACCCTGCCTGAAGCTTTCTGAGCGGCGTCTCAGAATAATTGACAAGCCTGGTTTTTCTCCTACATTAGGTCTGCAATTACATTCCATGCACTCCATTACATCTGGCAAGGTATCTGTCATTTCCACTAAAGCTCTAAGTGGTCAGTATGTATAGGGGGGAAAAATTAGATAACAAATGACTGATTCGAAGTCTGTTCATATATCATCTCTATAGATCTGATGTGACATAGAAGAATGCAGCACTAAACCCAAAGTCTTTGCCTTTTTATGCTTTTCTTTAAGAATAAAACATTTCCATGTGTTAGGACCTGAAGAAAGATGGATCTAACCTAGGAAATAAGGAAATCACATTTCAGGACAGTAATGGTCTACACAGAAATATACAAAGGCCCCTCAAGGATAGACAGCTCTTTTATCTACAAAAATATCATAAAATAAATTTAACTGATATCAGTTGGTTTTTGTTTATCAAGATTTTAAAAAAAAAAATTGTGTAATATTTCTCTTAGAAGAAAAACTTCACATTGAAATGGAATTGCTGTGATTTATTAATCTTTACAGCAAACAAAATATTTCTCAGGGACAGGTGAAACAGTCTGCTCTGCTACAAACGAGTAGTGAGATGAGCTTGTGCCAAGATGTCATTGGGCTCTGGCAGGGGATGAAGCTTCCTGATTAGTGCAAAAGTGGCGAGAACTGAGCAAGAAAAAAGAAAATTGAATACACATGGCCCTTGAGTGAGTTTCAGTAAAAATATTTCTTTATTCTTCTTTTGAGGTGAGGGCTGAGTTTGTTGAAGTTAGCCTTTAATTCCCAAAGTATTCGAGAGAATTTGGCTGTTAAATGCCTTGATCACGGCTGCCAGAACTAAGTCCCATTGTGCAGGATGTAGGCTGTTTTTAAAATCTGAGTAACTTCATGTAGGTTGAAAGTAAAAAGCAGCTTGAAGGAAATTCTTTAGCAGCCTGCAGCACTGGGGACATAAAAAACATCTTATTTTGGGTTGACAGGAAGAATATTGGCCTCAGCCTCCTGCTTTTTGTCCCCATTTTTCCCAGCTAAAGAAGCTTCTTTCCAAGCAATGGAAAGTCACTGGCTCAGATGGCAATGTAGCCAACACCTAACTGACTACTGGGAGACCATGGGAAGGCAGAAACTCCTAATGCAGAGAACCTGGAAAACTGTTGACTTTAGGTTTTGCATTGCAGTGCACTGATGAATATTAAGGAAAAGCCATTAATTGTTGGCTATTGGTTCAACAGCACCTGCTACTGAATTTGAAGGATCTTATTAACATGAGGTTCAGAGGTGGTGGTGATCTGTGGATGCATAGACACACTAAAAATGGAAAGAAGCAAGCTGATATCAATAACTCTGTTTATCTTCGTGTCAGAATCCAGAAAAACTCTATCAAACTAAGGTCTGGTAATCAGAGGCTGTCCAATGTAATGATATTTCCCTTGAGTGGCTATTAAAGTAGGTTAAATGGACATTTTGTGTATTCACGTCAAACACATTGTACTTCAGTCTGACCTAGACAGATCAAAATGTGTTTGGAAGTTAATATGGAGAATCACAGATGAGACATGAGCAAAAGTTACCAAGCATACTACACAGGATATTGCTGACAGAGTTACTGCTAATTTTCATCTCTCTCTTACATCTGTTAATTTAGATTTTACTGTATGGTACCTTTCTCCCTTCCACTCCCTTCTGAAAGCTTCAAGCTTGTTTAACTAGATGAAGGATTGAAAGGTAGTCTGGTGAACTGTCGAATATGCAAAAGCAACTTCTAGTGGCCTGGACAATCTTTCTTAAAGTCTGGACAGAAAAATGGTGGAGATGTTTTTCCCCCTGCTTGTGACATTCAGCAAGAGAGAATGCATGACTCACACAGTACCTTTGCCGACACCTGCATGCTGTTTTCTTGCATGTTCATGATGGCTTCAGAAATCTTGACATCAATAGGATCCATGACTGATTCAATGTTGAATGGTCCCTCTAATCTCTCCGCTACCAGAAGCATAGCATCTGTTAAAACACAAAGCAGCCATTCCCTTAAAGAAGGGACACCTTGGGGTGCCTCAGGCAGACGAGTGTCACCAGCCAGAGGCGTGGGTACCGAGCGCTCCTGAGCAGGAGCCCGTGGGGGTGGGTGGCAGTGGGACCATGAAGCCTGCAGGGCAGCTTCCTAGCTCTCAAACCCAATTTTCCCTACCACTGCCACCCCAGAAGGAGGAATAAAGTCTGTAAAAGTTAGGTGAATAATAGTTAGCATAGCATTATTGAGCTTGGGATGAAAGTATATCACACAGCATCACACCACTCGAAGCAGCAAGAGCTCCAGAGTGTACTTAAGTAGTCTCCTTCCCCAGAAAAAGCAGCATGATAGAAATGGAGTGTGTTTTTAGAATTCACATGAGATAATGAGAACTTTGATATGATATATCTGGGTGTTATAATTAAAGCAGCTGTTCTTTCTGACCTTAATGATCTCATTTTCTTGCAATATGAACAGCAGATGAATATTGGATTTCTGCCATAGCAGATAGGTATAAACTGTGTTTACCTCACTACATTTTCAAGACATGATTGAAAGTTCTATGCAGAATCATATACTTTTGTGTTTTGGATTTTAAAAAGAATTGTTTGCTCAATTTACATTAAAGTCCTCTCCAAAATAATGTTATCTTTTTGTGTTCATTAACAAGTGAAAACTGATCAGAAATGAATAACATTAAAAAAGGTTTTACCATACATCACATATGTTTGTTTATGTACCGACACAGATTCCTCACAATTTCTGTGGCAACACCAATGCAATGAACAGGATTTGTACTATACCTTTGAACATAATATTTTATTCTTGTCTCATATGTTAGCATTTACATTTTTTAGTATCTAATTACCTTAAACAGATGCCACTTGCAATTCTAATATGATAAACAAAAATCTCCACATGCTCTCACCTATATTCTTCAGACTTAGGCTCCAAAAGGCACTAACCAGTCTTCCTTCCAAAACAGCCCCTACTGGTGCTTTGCTGTTGCAAGCACCAGTCCCAAGGCAGCTACGTGGAGAAGGCATGGGGCACCCCTTAGCCCAGAGAGCAGTGCTTGATAGCTCTGTGATTGGCTGCAGAGTCCTGGGGCTTCTTTCCAGCCTGCATGGCCACCTTCTCTCTCCCCATGGAAGCACAGGTGCATGGATGTATGTGAAGAAGAGGCTGGTGTCTCACCCTGGCAGTGGAGACACAGGTTCCCATGCACAGCCAGACATGGGAGCTACACTATGTACATACTATGTATGTAGCCAATGTATGCTTAAATATCCCACTGAAACAGAAATACAAAAAAAGCTTAATTTTAAATATCCACATCTTTATTGATGACAGATGCATATTTATGTTAGCAGTCCATATTTTTGTTTTGGAGCTAGAATGTGGGACAGGATTAGTGTTAAACTAGAGGCCCATAAAGGAACATGTTTGAAGGGGCAGAGTCTGAGAAACTGATTAAATGCTGGGATGAAAGGTGATTGCAGGTCTAAGCTAAACAAGTTCCTCCTGCAACATGATTTCTGAGACTGACACAAGTTATGCTTCCAGTTAAGGTTCATTTTAGGTCTCAACTCAGACTAGGAGTCTGGGGTAGTTGCACAGTTCAGATGAGTTCTTGCACAAATGGGGAAACTATTGTTATTTGAGGACTTATTTTATTTCCTTCAGTTTAAATAAGTGTGTGGGGCCACAGCTGATTTAGACTGGACTGCAGTTACTCCTATCTCCTTCTGGTAGGAGTACGAGATTGGTTGAGCAAAAGGGAATGAGCAAGTGCCACACCTATGAACTCCAAAATTATTTTCTTAGCCTTTGTCTGACTGAGCTCTTCCTTTTACCGCCTCTCTAACAATAATGTTGTCCCTAATATTAAGTCAAACTTATCCAGATGGTGTCTGACATCCCTAGACTGAGACAAGCCTTGAAGAGCAAGGCAGTCATGTTATTGTGAGTGTGCAGGCCCTTTGGGAACATAATCACTACTGTAGTCAACTGGCTTCTATCTACTGATTTTTTGAATTAGGCCTCAGATTAAAATTCAGATGGAATTTTCTATCCCTAATATTGACCTCCAGAAAAAAACAAACCCACAGTGTGATTTTAAGGTGAATTCTTCTCTTGGAAAATATTTCCTAATCCTCTTGTTTGCCAGCCCTAACCCTCATTGCAGTGCTATACCTTACTATTCACTTGCACAATTCTATAAGAACACACACAATGTATACGCAAGAGGCATCCTATGCAAATGAATGAAATAAAAGCTGCTAGGTTGAATGTAGTGAGAATCTGGTTAAATTTAATGATCTGAGATTTATGACAGCACAGTCAAAATGATGTAATCGTCCTTTCTAGACTGTAGCTCTTCAAATCTGTAATCATGTAACAAAAACCCCAACACTTGTCCCAAGTCTCTTTTTTTTCTCCTAAAAATGTTATGAATATTATTACAGGAGCAGCTGGAAAGATTTCAAAATGAAATTAAGAAAATCTATATGCCTCAGTTATGAAATCTCAGTTCTCAAGAACTGACCCTTGAACTCAAAAAATGCCTAATTCATTTCAGTGGGACTCTCTGTGGGTTTAATAATTTCCTAATCAGCTCAAATAGTAGATATTAGGAGCTTAATTGTTATGCTATTTAGGTCTGAAAGCTGATTGATTAATTGACTACCTGTTTTTTATGCTGTTAATACACTTGGACTGTATTGTTCACCTTTATATGTTCTTTATTTTTTTCTCTTTTGCATTTTTCAAAATCTGCTTTGCTTAGGCTAAGCACAGGGCTTCCCTCTCCATCTACTACAGCACTTGGAAAAGGCTGATATTCCCAGCTGATATCCAGCTGCCGGGTGAGTGGATCAGGAACTCAGTTTAGTTAAGCCATTCTTGCTTGTGGGTTTATTAGCCACTTGGAAACAATAAACATGACTAATTGCTCACCTGAGGACATGGGCTTGCAAAACAGTCCGGAGAAAGAGCAGAGCATATGGCACATTTCTTACTGCCAGTGCCACTGCTCTTGACCTCTCCTGCCAGATGCACGTTACTCAAAACAGGAGTGGGGACGCTCCTGATGCAGTAAAAAAACAAAGCCTGCTGGTGTCCCAGAGTGTAGTCCTGGGAGGCCTGGAATGTTTCTGCTGGCTGAGGACAACAACTCTGTTTAACTGCTTTGTATTCCCTTGTCCACACCAAGATATACCACAGGTATTTGTCAGTGGATTTTAGAAGGACAAAGTTTCATTTTAAGCAATATATACGAGCTCCTGCAGACTTTGTTTTTGCTTATTTCACAGATTTTTTTTTTTTTTTCACAGTTTAAAAGATGCTACTTAAATGAGAAGCAGAAGACAGAAACTGATCAATCACCATGCTAAGCGACTTGTCATACAACTTAAAAAATTGAGTTGGCTGTGTGTGAATTTCAAGGTACGATGGTCTTTTGTGAACCCTGAGCATCTCCAGGCAAAATACCAGATAGACTAATAATAGAAAGGATATACTAATAACAGACAAGAATCTGCCTCAGTTTCCTAGGAACTGCATCAAGCCACTGTCTTTTTGACTTATCTTGATACTAACAGTGATATCTTCCTGTTTATGTTACATTTCGTTCAGGGCAAGTTTCCCGAAATCATCCTAGTAAATCCCATACTGAAACAAAGAGAAGAGGGATAAGGGCACTGATTTATGAGACATCTGACAATTGAAAAAACTCCAAAAGTAGACTAAAATACAAAGTTCCTGTAAAGAAAGTCAGTGCCTCCTTTTCCTTGTCACTTTTCTATCATCAAGATAATGTGAGAAGGATCTGACAGGGAAGACTCAGAGGGCTTATAGGCAGCCTCAGGAAGCTGATAAGGAAAGGCATTTTTTGAGTCTGTGTTAGTTTAGCTGTGACATCAGTTTTTCCTTTCATGCACGCTTTGTTATTCTACTTTTAAATTATCAGTGAAGATTCCAGCAGTGGCTGAGCTTTCCCCAGGGAATTCCAGAAAAGCATCTATGGATGAAGTCGCTAAAAACATTTTTTAGGGAGACAAAGAATCTAAGGTATATTTTATTTTGTGAAAAAAGGAAGGAAGATTTTTCTTAAATTTCCTATCAGGCAGTTGTTATTTTTTCTTACATGTGTTCTAACCCTTATTTATGAAGAACTGTGAAGTGCTTGTTCACACAGTTGCTTGTGAAATAATGTAAGGATAACTTTTTATTTGGAAACCTTCCAAGGACTGGCCTATGGATAAGTCCACGGATTGCAGAAGAAGAGAGGTGAATCAGTTGTAAATAGACTGAGCAATTATTGTAGTTGACTATGACCTTGAGAGTGACAATGACTGTTTTGGAAAGGGATATAAAAGATAATTATCTGGGCTGCAAAGCCATGCTCATTTCCCAACTTCCCAACCTTCTGACCAAGGGCAAGGGGAGGTGGGAGTTTGGCTTGTATTTACTACGTCATGTAGGTAAAATTCAGTGAGTTTTCCATCATGACACCAAATATAAATAGCACTCATGAAATCTTTAGAGCATTAGATGGTAAATAAAACGAAATAAAAACTAAAAATTGAAAAGTGAAATATGGGTACATATTGACTTTTTAGAAATACAATAACAAGCCTGTAATATTCTGCCAAAACTTTTACTGCTAGCTTATGATTTACTAAAACAAATTAAAGAAGAATGTAAAACTCTATGTTCATTGAGTTCCTAAGATCCCTTTGCTCAGGAAATCAGAATAAGGCATGGCAGTGATGCCAAGCCTGCTATTTTTCTTAGGGTCCATGGTGTCCTTTTCACATTATTATTTATATGAGAACACTGTACAGTGCTATTCTGATGAGGCTTAAGTGACAGATTTCCTGTCTGACTATCATTAAGCTCCATGTATGTATTGGCATAATAATATTATAATTCTCTACATCCTTTGTTACGCTTTTCCCACTTTTTTAAAGAAAGGTATTACGTGGTG